AAGAGAACATAACTACAATAAATTAATGCATGTAAAAATTAATAATTTCTTAATATCAAATATCTCATTAGGTTTTGAATTTCCAATTATCTCCTAAATGTTATCTTTTTACAATTTAAAAATTGGCCCGCTGCTTGTTTTTCAAAGTATGGTTTTCTGGGAAGAGAGCTACACTTATTTATTTGTGTGTTATCTTTAGCTGCTTTCATGCTGCAGTGGCAGAGTTGAGCATTTGCAACAGAAACCATATGGCTCTCAAAGCCTGAAATATTTACTATTTGACCCTTTACAGAAAGTTTGGTGACCCTTGCTTTAGGCAATTATCTTTTGGAATAATTAAAATTAGGAAGAAATGTCATGTTTACCTTCATTTTAACCACTTTGAGAGATCATTTGTTTGTGTACATTCAAGTTTCCTTCTGATATATTTCTTCTTCCTGAAGAACTTCCTTTAGCATTTCTTGTAGAATATGTTTTAGCTTTTGCTTGTCTGAATAACGTTTTTACTTTGCCTTTATTTTTAATAAGTATTGCTGGGATTAGAATTCTGTGTTGATAGTTTTATTCTTTTGGCACACTATCCCTCTACTTCCTTTTGGTTTGTGTAGTTTCTCGTGAGATGTCTCTTTGTTTGTTTCTTTGTTTATGTTTTGTTAGAGATGTCTATTATAATTCTTTTTTTTTTTTCTGAGACAGAGTCTCGCTCTGTCACCCAGGCTGGAATGCAGTGGTACGATCTTGGCTCACTGCAATCTCCACCTCCCGGGTTCAAGTGATTCTCCTGTTTCAGACTCCCAGGTAGCTGGGATTACAGGTGCCTGCCACCACATCTGGCTAATTTTTTGTATTTTTAGTAGAGATGGGGTTTTACCATGTTGGCCAGGCTGGTCTCGAACTCCTGAGCTAAGATGATCCACCTGCCTTGGCCTCCCAAAGTGCTAGGATTACAGGTGTGAGCCACCATACCCAGCCTTCTATTATAATGCTTACCTTTGTTCCTATGAATGCAGTGCCTTTATCTTTGGCTACTTTCAAGATTTTATCTTTGGTTTTCCATAGTTTGTGTCTAGGTTTGTGGATTTTTTCGTTTTGTCCTTTGGTATTTTTCTTGATTGGGGTTCTCTTGGCTTGCATCTGTTCTTTGATCTGTCATTATTTTTGGAAATTTTTCAGCTACTTTTTTTTTTTTTGACAGAGTCTTACTCTGGAGTGCAGTGGCACGATCTCCACCCACTGCTGCCTCAACCTCCTGGGCTCAGGTGATCCTCCCACCATAGCCTCCTAAGTAGCTCTGACTACAGGTGTCTGCCACCACGCCTGGCTAATTTTTTAATATTTTTTTATAGAGATGGGGTTTCACCATGTTACCCAGGCTGGTCTGGAACTCCCAGGCTCAAGCAATCTGCCTGCCTCGGCCTCCCAAAGTGCTAGGATTACAGGTGTCAGCCACTGCACTTGGCCTATATCTCTTCAGAGCCATTATCTTTCTATTCTTTTGGGATTCTGATTATTTACATAATAAGACCATTTAATGTTTTCCCATACTTCCTGGATCCCCTATTCTTTTTTCTTTTCTTCTTTTAATCTTCTCCTTTTGTTTTAGTTTGGGTAATCTTGACTGACCTCACTCTGAATTCTTTCTTTGGTGTTGAGTTAACTGATAAGGCTGGCAAAAGCATTCTTCATCTGTTACTATGTTCATGTATTTCTAGCATTGCCGTCTGATTCTTACAATTTCCATCTCTTTGCAGAAATTCATCATTCATGCTTGTACCTTTTCTACTATAGCCTTTAGAATATTAAACATAGTCATTTTAAATTTCTTTTCTCATAATTGTAACATTTTAGTCATCTCAGAGTCTGGTTTTGTTGATTGCTTTGTCTCATTGTAGTGGGGTTTTTTTTCATGTGTGTATGAGGGAGATAATTTGTTACTAATAATGAATGCTGGACATCATGTATACACTGATAGAAGTGACACATCTCTGCTGCTGAGTTGTCAGTAGGGGTTAAGTCAATCTAGTCAGGAATTGAGCTTTGTTTGGATTTTTTTTTGTTGTTACTATGGGTACCTTCAGTGCATCACCAGCTTCAGATTTATCTGCTGTTACCTTGTGTTTAGGGTGGGTGCTACATTATACCAGTATTTTTTTGTTTTTGTTTTTTCAGACAGGGTCTCACTCTGTTACCCAGGCTGGAGTGCAGTGGTGCAATCATAGCTTACTGCACCCTTGATCTCCTGGGCTCAAGTGATCCTCCCACTTTATCCTCCTCAGTAGCTGGGACTACAGGTGTGCACTACCATGCCCAGCTAATTTTTTTTTTTTTTGAGACAGAGTCTCCCTCTGTTGCCAGGTGCCAGGCTGGAGTGCAGTGGCACAATCTCGGCTCACTGCAACCTGCTCCTGCCGGGTTCAAGCAGTTCTCCTGCCTCAGCCTCCCGAGTAGCTGGGACTACAGGCACGCACCACCATGCCCAGCTAATTTTTGTATTTTTTTAGTAGAGACGGGGTTTCACCATGTTGGCCAGGATGGTCTTGATCTCTTGACCTCGTGATCCACCCGCCTGGGCCTCCCAAAGTGCTGGGATTACAGGCGTGAGCCACCACGCCCGGCTCCAGCTAATTTTTAAAAAACATTTTTTTGTAGAGATGGGAGGGGTCTCACTATGTTACTCAGCCTAGTCTTGAACTCCTGGCCTCAAGCAATTCTCCTACCTCAGCCTGCCAGTGTTGGGATTATAGGCATGAGCCACCGCACCCAGCCCCAGTGTTTTTATTAATGTTCATATTCTATACTCAGCTTCTGTCTTTGCCCTTGCATGTCGTGGTGAGTCTCTTTCTAAGCTCTAGCTCTTCCTCCAGCAATAAACTGCTGTTTGTTACTCCATACTTGCTAGCCTGGTGGTAGGGGCCAGGAAAAGGGGATTCTTTGTTGTCATAATCTAGCCGCTGCCTTAGGCAGACTCATGTGTTCCTGAGTCTCCTGGGTGGCACTTTCTTAGTGATCCTGTCCCTTTCCTAGCTGAAGGAAACTCTTAATGGTCTGGGCCCAGAATGGTTTCCTGTCCATCCTCTAGTAGTAGAGAGCTTTTTCTTTTCCTTTTCTCCAGCTACGGTGAGTTTTCGCCTGTGTTCTGAAGGCGACTTGTTTTTGTCTAAGTGGCTTTAAGGCTCTTTCTCTGTAGGGGCTTTTTTTTGTGAGTCCCCAGTGGAAGTCTAGCGAAAAGCCTACAAGTGTGTGAACTCCCTTGTGTCTGTTGCTTCCAGGGGTTCTGTACTCTCATGCTAGTCAATACTTGGACTTTAGCAATTTATTTAAAATTTTCACTGATTCTTACCCATTTGTGTGGTGCACAGCATTGTCTTCTCCTCATGCTTTGCTACTGTTGAGCCAGTGCTGATGTCTCCTCGTGGAAGCACCTCGGTTTCCTTAGATTTCATCCAGGCTACTTGGTCTCCCTTACAATCTCAGGTTTCTGATGAATTCAGGGGAAGTTATGATTCAGTAAAGTCTCTAACCTCTTCTCATTGTTCTGGTTGGGGAATGGTCTTTCCAGCTTCCTGTATCTTAATCAGAAGTCAAATTACAGTGTTATATAGTTACTTAAAATAGATTCTGTCTTTGTGGTTGTATGTTTAATTCAAAGCATGGTAGTTTCATTGGTTTAATTTTTCTCTCAGTTTCAGGGATTGCTTTGTTCGAATTTTAATTTTATTTCATAATTGTATGAACTGTTTATGTGATTGCAAGAGATATATATAGAACAACATATTGAAAAAAGCCTAGTTTCTCTTCCTGCCTGCTCTATCCTATTCCATTCTTTCCTCTACAGGAAAACCTAAAAAAAAAATCATATGGTATATTTCTTTATTTAAGAAATATGACTGTCATTAAGAAATTGTTTTTTTATAAGTTCTTCTTATTTATTTATTTATTTAAGACAGAGTTTCACTTTTGTTGCCCAGGCTGGAGTGCAATGGTCCAATCTCGGCTCACCACAACCTCTGCCTCCCAGTTTCAAGTGATTATCCTGTCTCAGCCGCCTGAGTAGCTAGGATTACAAGCATGCATGCACCACCATGCCTGGCTAATTTTGTATTTTAAATAGAGATAGGGTTTCTCCATGTTGGTCAGGCTGGTGTCGAACTCCCGACCTTAGGTGATTTGTCCACCTCAGCCTCCCTAAGGAGGGAGTATAGGCGTGAGCCACCATGTCTGGTGAGTCTCTTTCTAAGCTCTAGCCCTTCCTCCAGCAGTAAACTGGAGTTTACAAGTTTTTTGAACATTTTCATTCTTTCTAAAATGTCAGTATACTGTCTTGTGTTTCATTTATCTGCAACTGTTGCCCACAAAAAATTGTGCCTACTGGGCCAAAAACTGTATGAGGAGACATTGCCTCTATTTTCTTAGGAATTTGTAGATTCGAGTTTCAGTTGTAATAAAATTTGGCAGATGAGCATGAATTTAAAAGTTCACATTCTTTATTCACTTTGAAAATTTTATTTGCTCTGTGATTGCCAGGTAACCTGTAAAGAGTGTAATCAAGGTGTGTTTGCCATTTCCCTGTTCCTCCCAGTTGCCTTTATGGTTCATGTAATGCTCTTTTGTAGCCAGCAGAGGCCACTAGCGCCTGCTAGGGAGCAGAACAGAAATGTGGCCGTTCTAAGAATGATTGCTAAAAGGTCACTTTTTAATAACTTTATAATTATTATCTCAGTCTTACTAGCTTGTGCCATGTGAAGATTTTATGCTAAATGTTGATAGGCAAGAAGGTCTGTATGACATTTACTTTTGTTTTTTCATTATGTTTCATCTTTAAAGAAATAAATTTGAGAATTATAGTTAACTGCATTGCTTAACGTCTGTTGAGCTAACACCTCCTTTCCTTTGTAAAACCCTGCAAAATACATGGTCCCTACTCTCTAGGAAATGATGATATATATGAGGAATGCTGCAGTTTATTACAGGCTTACTTTTTTTCCCCTGACTCTTCTCAGTTTGCAGGCCTTTCAGATATAACCATCTCACAAGACATTCCAGTAGAAGGAGAAATCACCATTCCTATAAGATCTCGCATCCGGGAATTTGACAGCTCCACATTAAACGAATCTGTTCACAATACCATTGTAAGTTAGACTACTTGAAAGAACTCCTGTTCAGTATCATGGGACTAAGTAACTAATAGTACTTTGCAATATTTTCATTTGGTTTACTGATTTTGAATATATTTTATATACTGAAGTTTAATATTTTATCCTAGAGAATAATTTGTTGCAGCTTTTTTGGAGAGCAGTTTGGTTATAACACATATTAAGAATCTTAGCTACGCGTGGTGGCTCGCGCCTATAATCTCAGCACTTTGAGAGGCCGAGGCAGTCGGATCACCTGAGCTCAGGAGTTCGAGACCAGCCTGGCCAACATGGTGACACTCCATCTCTACTAAAATACTAAAAATATAAAAATTGGCCAGACATGGTGGCATGTGTCTGTAATCCAAGCTACTCGGAAGACTGAGGCAGGAAAATTGCTTGAACCCAGGAGGTGAAGGTTGCAGTGAGTCAAGATCGTGCCACTGCACTCCAGCCTGGGTGACAGAGCGAGACTCATTCTCAAAAAAAACCAAAAAGAATCTTAAAATGTCCAAATCTTTTAAAATCATTATATTATCATACTCCTCCAAATATAGTATAAGGAAAGTTTTCAAAAATAAAACAGAAATTTTCAACATAAAAATATCAATATACAAAGATGTTTATTATAGCATTCTTTGTAATAGGGGAAGCTAGAAATAAATGAACAACAGATGAGGTATTAGTTAAGTAAATTATGTTACATCTTTGTAGTGGGATGCTAAACAACTATTAAAAATTATGTTTACAAAGTGTTTAATAAGATGGATAAAACTCTAGGTGAAAAAAACTAAAGCAGAATTAGCTCAGTGGTACTTTAAGAGGTTGTGTTTGTATTACTGAACCCTTCCTCCAGTTTCTTGATTTTTTTTGTATCTGGCTTCTAAGAGTCATTTACCAATTAAATTGGGGATATTGGAAATTTATTTTATATATTTCAAAGAATATGATAGCTAGAGAGCAGGTTAATTGGTCCTTGGGACCTCATCTTCTACGAACTGAATGTTACATACTATATTTTGTGTAGAGCAGCTTTTTGTAGTGCAGTTGTTTTAGTTTCTTTAAGCAGCCTATTCTGAGGGCTGTGTTTCTCCTTTATGAATTTTTCAACATCAAAACAGAACAGATCAAAACAGATGTGGAAAAGTATTAAAAGTTGGCTTAAGGAGTTAATAGAAAAAGCATGCCCTACCTCTCTGCTTTGTTTGTGTAGTGCAGGAATTGGACTGGAATTATCTGGAAGATTCAATGAAGAGTTCCCAGGAGATTGAAATGAAAGAAATTTTAGCAAATTAAGTAAGGCTGCTGACAACCTTGGTCATCACAATACAACAAGTTGTTTCTATTTTTCAGATGCGTGATCTAAAAGCTGTTGGGAAAAAATTCATGCATGTTTTGTACCCAAGGAAAAGTAATACTCTTTTGAGAGATTGTAAGTATATGAGGTTTTTAAGGGTTTACTTTATCTATCTCACTGTACCTTATCATAAGTACTTTATAAGGCAAAGGCTCTGTGGTAATAAAACTGACATCATTTTGCAGGATTAAAGAATATGTAAATGGATATGTAAATCAAACTACTGGCAGAAATTAAAATTTGGTTTTATTTTATTTTGAGACAGTCTCACTCTGACTCCCAGGCCAGAGAGCAGTGGTGCAATCTCTGCTCATGGCAACCTCCACCACCTGGGTTCAAGCAGTTCTCATGCCTCAGCCTCCTGAGTAGCTGGGATGAAAGGCACCTGCCACCACGCCTGGCTAATTTTTTTGTATTTTTGGTAGAGACAGACAGGGGTTTCACCATGTTGGCCAGGCTGGTCTTCAACTCTTGACCTTAGGTAATCCACCCGCCTTGGCTTCCCAAAGTGCTAGGATTACAGGCAGAAATTAAAAATTTAGATTGGAATCTCAGAGATTGAAAGATTTTGCTTATTATATTGTCCTCATCAATAAATGTATACTGGCCAGGCATGGTGGCTCATACCTGTAATGCCAGCATTTTGGGAGACCGAGGCAGGAGGATTGTTTGATCTCAGGAGTTTGAGACCAGCCTGGGCAACAGGGTGAGACCTCATTTTTACTAAAAATAAAAAAAATTAGTCAGGTCTGGTAGTGCATGCCTGTATTCCTAGCTACTTGGGTGGCTGAAGTGGGAGGATTGCTTGAGCCAAGATCAAGGCTATAGTGAGCCGTGACTGCGTCACTGCACCCTAGCCTGAGTGACAGAGTGAGACCTATCTCAACAAATAAAATATATAAATGTTTAAAATGCTGTAATGGTTACTACTAAATACATTTCTGGAAGCTGTTAATACATAATATTTATATATACTACATATATTACATAATATTCCTGGAAGCTGCTGACATTTAAAGAATTAATGATCTCCAAGGAAAGACAAATGTTTAAATTTTTGTTTGTTAGTTTTTTGACATGGAGTCTCGCTCTGTTGCCGAGGCTGGAGTGCAATGGCACAATGTCAGTTTACTGCAACCTTTGCCTCCAGGGTTCAAACGATTCTTCTGCTGCAGCCTCCAGAATAGCTGGGATTACAGGTGCCTGCCACCACACCCTGCCAATTTTTTTTATTTTTAGTAGAGACAGGGTTTTGCCATAACTGCTAGGCTGGTCTCGAACTCCTGACCTGAAGTGATCCACCTGCCTCGGCCTCCCAGAGTGCTGGGATTACAGGCAAGAGTCACAACTCCAAGAATAGGTGTTAAATTACTATAATAGTAAATACCCATAAACAATTAACAAATTAATAGTACCTTTATTGACAGTTCCATTTTCAAGCCCATCATTTAGTCTGATGACTGCTTTCTTTATTAGAGTTCTGTCAAAACAGACAGGTTCTCACTCTGTTAACCAGGCTGAAATGCAGTGGCATAATCATAGCTCACTGCAGCCTCAAACTCCTGGGCTTAAGCAGTGCTTCTGCCGCAGTCTCCCGAGTAGCTGGGACTGCAGGCATGCACCACTATGCCTTACTAGTTTTTAAATATTTTATAGAGATAGGGGTCTCCTTGTGTTGCCAGGCTTGTCTCAAACTCCTGGCCTCAAGCAATCTGCCCACCTCAGCCTCCCAAATTGCTGGATTATAGGCAAGAGCCACTGTGCCCAGCCAATGTTTAATTTTTTCAACTTTTTGTTAAAAACCAAGACAAAAGTACAAACATTGGTCTAGGCCTTCACAGGGTCAGGATTAGATCATCAGTACAATTGTCTTCCACCTCTCTATCTGTCCTATTGGAAGGTCTTCTGGAGCATTAACACACATGAAACTGCCATCTTCGATGATAACAATGCCTTCTGGAATATCTCCCAAAGGATTTGCCTGAGACTGTGTTATGGTTAACTTTTTTTTTTTTTTTAGAGACAGGATCTTGCTCTTGTCACTCAGGCTGGAGTGCAGGGGCGTGATTCTACCTTACTACGGCCTCAAACTCCTGGGCTCAAGCCATTCTCCCACCCTAGCCTCCCATGCCCAGAGCCTGTGCCACTGTGCCCAGCTAATTAAAAAAAAAAATTTGGCCAGGCACGGTGGCTCACACTTCTAATCCCAGCACTTCGTCAGGCCAAGGTGGGTGGATCACCTGAGGTCAGGAGTTCCAGACCAGCCTGGCCAACATAGTGAAACCCTGTCTCTATTAAAAATACAAAAATTGGCTGACCCTGTTGGCAAGCGCCTATAGTCCCAGCTACTCCGGAGGCTGAGGCAGGAGAATCACTTCAACCTGGGAGGTGGAGGTTACAGTGAGCCAACATTGTGCCATTGCACTCCAGCTTTGGTGACAAGAGAGAAACTCTGTCTCTACAAAAAAAAATTATTTTTTTGAGACAGAGTTTCCCTATGTTACCCAGGCTGAACGTTTTTTTTTTTTTTAGTAAAAGTATACTCCAATGTAACAATGAAAAGTATAGTATAATAAATAAACCACAGTAACCTAGTCATTTTTTATCATTATCAAGTACAGTATTATGTAGTGTACATAACTGTGCTATATTTTTATATGACTGGCTACATACTAGGTTTGTTTATACCAACATTACCACAGACTTGTGAGTAATGTGTTATACTAGATGTCATTAGGTGATAGAAATTTTTCAGCTCCATTATGATTTTATGGGACCACTATCATTGACCGAAATGTCATTATGTGGCACATGACTGTATACTTGAATTCAGTTTTTAAGTTGAGAAGTTAAAAAAAATTAATGAAATAAGCAGCAGTTTTATTAGAAGTGGTAGGATTATGGTTTTTTTACATCTTTTCTAAACTTTCCACAATGGTGTCAAAATTAACTTATATAATTAAAAATAAACACTATTAAGTATATAAATTTGCATACCTCTCTTGGGTAAGGTTATATACATGTGAAGTTAAAGTTAGATGTGGGTGGGATATGTGCCTTTTTGGAATGAGTTGAGGAAGGTAATTGTGTTCTAAGCTGTGTGCTACTAAACTGTTGGCATACAAATCACTCAGTAGCTTTTTTTGTTTTTTTGAGATGGAGTCTTGCTCTGTCACCCAGGCTGGAGTGTAGTTGGTGTGATCTTGGCTCAGTGCAACCTCTGCCTCCTGGGTTCAAGCGATTCTCCTGCTTCAGCCTCCCAAGTAGCTGAGATTACAGGCATGTACCACCATGCCTGGCTAATTTTTTTTATATTTTTAGTAGAGACGGGGTTTTACCATGTTAGCCAGGCTGGTCTCGAACTCCTGACCTCAAGTGATCTTCCTGCCTCAGCTTCCCAAAGTGCTGGGATTACAGGGCAAATCACTCAGCAGCTTTTCTTTTTCTTTTTTTTGAGACAGAATCTTGCTCTGTCACTCAGGCTAGAGTGCCAGTGGCGTGATCTTGGCTCACTGCAACCTCTGCTACCCAGTTTCAAGCAATTCCCATGCCTCAGCCTCCCGAGTAGCTGGGATTACAGGCACGTACCACCATGCCCAGCGAATATTTTGTATATTAGTAAAGACAGAGTTTTATCATGTTGCCCAGGCTGGTCTCAAACTCCTGAGCTTAGGCGATCCGCCTGCCTCGGCCTTCCAAAGTGCTAGGATTACAGGCGTGAGCCACTGTACCTAGCCTGCAGCCTTTGATTGAGGACCATGTTTGCTAGACCTGATGTTGGTAGAGCCTACAGAGCCTTTTTCAGTTTTCAGAAAGCTTTCATATGTTATTTATTAAAGTTTAACCTTGTGAATTACCCATAGTGGGCTGTTTTTTACCTAGAAGAACAGCAACTCTATATTAATTCAATATACTCATTATAAAATGGAAGCAGTGTGACAGACGGCAAGTTTTGGTCTGAGAATCAAAAGACCAGGCAGGGTGTGGTGGCTTATGCCTGTAATCTCAGCACTTTGGGAGTCTGAGGCCGGTGAATCCCTTGAGGCCAGAAGTTTGAGACCAGCCTTGGGCAACATGGCAAAACTGCATCTTTACAAAAACTACAAAAATTAGTTGGGTGTGGTGGCATGTACCTTTAGTTCCCAGCTACTCAGGAGGCTGAGGTAGGAGGATCACCTGAGCCTGGGAGGTTGAGGCTGCAGTGATCCATGATCATACCACTGGCAACAGTGAGACCTTGTCTCAAAAACATTAAAAAAAATAAAAAGGAATCAGGCCAGATGCGGTGGCTCACGCCTGCAATTCCAGCACTTTGGGAGGCCACGGTGGGCAGATCATCTGATGTCAGGAGTTCGAGACCATCCTGGCCAACATGGTGAAACCCTGTCTCTACTAAAACTGAAAAATTAGCCGGGCATGGTGGCGAGTGCCTGTAATCTCAGCTACTTGGAAGGCTGAAGCAGGAGACTCACTTGAACCTGGAGGCAGAGGATGCTATAAGCCGAGATTGCACCATTGCACTCCAGCCTGGGCGACAAGAGGGAAACTCCATCTCAAAACAACAACAACAAAAACCAGAATCGGAAGCCCTAGGTTCTGGTCCCACCTCCACAGATAAAGTTGAGCAAGTCATTTCCTTTTCAGCTTCATTTTTTGTATTTGTGAACTGAGTGTGATTATATTTGCCTTGTCTAATGCAGTCTCTGACCGGTAAAGTTCCTTGGCTGTAGTCTTTTTTTTCTGAGTGTCGGGTAGGGAACCTAGGTCTTCTGACTGTCCATTGGTCTTTAATTATAGCATGGTAGTATGTGGCTTAGTAGATGGGGAGAATGAAAGTGTGGTTTGTGGGATATGAAGCAAACAAAACTTAAAGTCTATGCGAAGAAGTGCATTCAGGATTAGGGGACAGGGAGGGCAGGTAGTGGGAGAGCAGAGGTAGGAAGTCTTCAGCAAACAAAGAGAGCCTTGATGTCAGAATTCCAGGAGTGCAAGAGGTAGCTATTGGAATAAAGATAGAAAATACTACCTGTGCTTCTGTCTTGTAGGGGATTTGTGGGGCCCTTTGATCCTTTGTGTGACACTCGCATTGTAAGTACTTGCATTTTCTTTCTTTATCATTTGAGCTAGAGTAGACTTTTTTGTGGATTTTCAAAATTGTGGGGGATCTTGATTGAATATTTCATTTAGGACTTGTATGACATGTTGTACTCCTCAGGTATTTAAGCCTCGAAAGTCACTTTCCAAATCAATTAAAAAATGATGAAATTAGGCTCACCTTCCTTAATCAATGGTATTTTAGTCTGTTTTAGCCATGTCTGTTCTACAAACATTTATTTATTCATTTACTTTCTTGTTCTTCCCCATTATTAAACTAAGTGAATTAAGTATAGGCTTAAGCACGCTTTGCAAACATAATTCTCTGTAACTCTTACTAAAAAGAAGAATGAGAATGAGAATAAATTAGAATAGAAGTAGTAGAGTTAAAAGCAAGATCATGTTTCAGAGTGTTGTACTTTTCCATACACATTGTATGGAAAGGAAGAGGACAGAGGAAGGAGAGGAAGGTTACACTAGAGAGAGGAATATAACCATTCATAGAGTGGAAAAAAATACTGCCCTGGAATTCAGTTCTGAGTGCGCATTTTGACTCTGCTATCAGATAACTATGTGACTTTGGGTTACTAATAATTAATGTTTGTATAATTTTTCCCGGTTTGCAGAAAACTTTTAAATACTTTCTCTTATTTTAACCTTATAGCAATAATTAAAATTATTTTCTTTCTTTTTCTTTTTTTTTTTCTTTTTTGACGAACAAGCTTCGATTCAAAAAGGTTGAGGATTTAACTAAGAGCACATAATCAGTGGAAGACCTGAGATTCAACCTCAGGTTTCCTCACTACCTAATCTGTACCTCTACGGTTCATTACACTTCTCTTCCCACCTGGTCACTCCAGCTCTCCTCTTCCATATCTGTAAAGGGAGATGGTTAAGGATCCTTTCCAGGTTTAACCCTTTATGGTTCTAAATTCACTAAGTTTCTTGCTGACTTCTTAATTTTTTAAATTTAAATTGAGCATATATTAATTTAGGTAATAATGTAGAGTGTTATTTCTTATGCTTTTAATAACCATGTCAAGGGAAGCAGCCTAATGCCTTGATGGAGGGGGTTTATATTAGAAGTCCCAAGCATATATATATATATATATATATATATATATATATATATAGTTTTGAAAGATTAATCTTATAGATTATGTAGTTTAACCCCACTTGGTTGCATAGAAAACTGGAGTCCCAGGACATCAAGTGACATATCTAGTGACAGAACTAGGATCAGTTTCTGGGTCTCTTGCCTTCCAGGCTAGTTAATATTCTTTCCTTCATACCATGCTGAAGCAATAGGGATTCCAGACAACAAGTGATGAGTGCTGGCACATTCTTTGCGTCTGGTTGTCAGGACTTGGAATGGAATATGCATAGCATAGAATAAAAAAGCCTGTGCATACTGCTAAGCAGCATAGCAGGGCAAGAAAGACTTACAGTGTGACTTCTCTATACTGCTTAATAAGAAGAGGTTGTGAGCTTACAGTTATTATTTTTCTTGCTATTAACACTAAGTGCAAATATTCAAAACTGTTTACATCTGTAAAATTCTTAGACAAAGGATATTTAAGTGGCTGTTCAACTACTCCGTTCCAAAGCAAAACCCTTTAGTAATAATCTGTATGTTTTGATTTTTTAAAAATCAACAACTAAATAGGTTTATAGACTGCTTTCATTTTTATTTATTATTTTTATTTTGTTTTTAGGTAGAGTCTCATTCGGTTACCCAGGCTGAATCAGTGGTATGATTACAGCTCACTGCAGCCTCAACCTCCTAGGCTCAAGCAATTCTCCCAGCTTAGCCTTCCTAGTAGCTAGGACTATAGGTGTGCACCACCATGGCCAACTAATTTTTTATTTTTTGTAGAGACGGGGGTTTTGTCATGTTGCTCAGGCTGGTCTCAATCTCCTGGCCTCAAGTGATCTGCCTGCCTTGGCCTCCCAAAGTGCTGAGATTGTAGACTGAGCAACCATACCTGGCCTATTTCCATTTTTAAATATCTCAACTGAAACCTTTAAGAATTATAAGTTCAGATGTGTCTAAAGGCTAGAGAAGTAACCTAAAGGCATGTAGTAGTGATATGGTGACTGTAAGCCCCTTGCACCTATGTCAGCTATATTTGATTGCTGCAGTGTTGGAATGCTGGCTCAGTGTTAGAAAGTATAATTTTTTTTTTTCAAGAAAATCCAGAAATTCATATTCTTATGTGAAATAAAATAATGTCAACTTAAATCCAAATCATCTTAAAGATTATATAAGCCCAAAAGCTCATATCTGTAAGCCACATTTGACCCTTCAGTTTATAACCACTGCTTAAACAAAAAAGGCCTTCAAGTAATCCATTTAAACATTTCAGCAAGGTCAAATGGAGCACCCCTTGTAGTCCTGAGGCATTTGGAATTTGCAGTAAGGCGGCCTTGCAAATACTTGTGCCATTTCTCTTTTAGCACAATCTGCATATTATAGATCTTCAGGTGAGGTGTAGCACGGCAATCTGAATCAGAGTTTGAGAACCTATGCCTTAACTTTGTTGCTGTGAGTAAAAGATTAAGCAATTCTTATGCTGTTTCCTTTTCTCAGAATGCTGCAAAGAGACCCTGCAGATAGTGAAAAAGATGGAGGGCCCCATTTTGCAGAGGTGTTTGTCATAGTCTGGTTTGGTGCAGTTACCATCACCCTCAACTCAAAACTTCTTGGAGGGAACATGTGAGTATTATTAAAATGCACTCTTTTTTTCTCCTTTGCAGGTAATATATCTTAGATTAAGGAGGACAAGCTAGTTAGAATTTTTTTTTTGAGACAGGATCTCACTCTGTCACCCAGGCTGGAGTGCATTGGTGTAATCATGGCTTACTACAGCCTCTACCTCTCAATCTTAGCATCCCAAGTAGCTGGGATCCTCCTGCCCCAGCATCCCGAGTAGCTGGGACTACAGGCATATGCTACTATGCCTGGCTAATTAAAAAAAATTTTTTTTTTGTAGAGACGGGGTCTCACTGTACTACCTAGGCTGGTCTTGAACTCCTGGACTCAGGTGATCCTCCCACCTTGGCCTACCAAAATGCCGGGATTACAGACATGAGCCACCATGCCTGGCCTAATATTTTTTTAAAAGAAAAATCAAATAAGGGCCAAAGAGAAGTGCTCTTAAAACCACTACCACTGGACAGGGATAACCTTGTTGAGTTAAATAATCTTAAATAATCCGAGGTCCTTTGATAAGCTTCACATGCTCTCTCCAGGCCCTGAAATCATAGGTAGATTTTCTTGTGTTAGAAGAGTATGTACATTTTAGGGGGCAAGTGGTCCATAGCCTTCAACAAATTCTCAAGTATAATAGGTCTATACACTAGAAAGGATTAAGGACCACTGTCTTAGAGGTTCAGAGAAACATATCTCTAGGAATTAGAGCAGATCATCTGGTGTTAAATGATTGACTCTTAAGGGGTTAGAGAGGAAGGAGACTATGGGGAAAGAAAATTAAAGCATGTACTTTTTTTTTTTTTTTTGAGATGGAGTCTTACTCTGTCACCCAGGCTGGAGTGCAGTGGCACGAGCTCAGTTCACTGCAACCTCCACCTCCTGGGTTCAAGTGATTTTCTTGCCTTAGCCTCCTGAGTAGCTGGAATCACAGGTGCCCGCCACAATGCCTGGCTAATTTTTTTATATTTTTAGTAGACATGGGGTTTTACCATGTTGACCAGGCTGGTCTCGAACTCCTGATTACAGGTGTGAGCTACTCACAGCACCCGTCCAAAAGCATGTACTTAATAATTAATGTTAGGATATAGATGTTATATACTAAGAAGGAGGCAACAGTCCATTGTATAGAGAAATGTGTGTAATAAGCTGTGTCATAACACCCATCAGCTGTATTTATGATCTTTATGAATGTATTTTGTTTTTAAGATCTTTTTTTCAGAGCCTCTGTGTGTTGGGTTACTGTATACTTCCCTTGACAGTAGCAATGCTGATTTGCCGGCTGGTACTTTTGGCTGGACCAGGACCTGTAAACTTCATGGTTCGGCTTTTTGTGGTGATTGTGATGTTTGCCTGGTCTATAGTTGGTAAGTATGTGCTTATTTCTACAATAGTAGAACAGACAAAAACATGATTTAAAGATGAAGACCAGATGAGGAGCAGTGTAACTCCAAAGTTAGATGTGAATGATATGATTCTTGCCAGTATTATCCATAGACCCCTCTTCCCTAGGTAGGCATTGATGGGGATGCTGTCTATCTTATCTGAGGTGGATATCTGGACTTAGAAGATGTGGAGAGTCATATCTTTTTTTTTTTTTTTTTTTTTTTAAATTTTTTATTGGATTTTAGGTTTTCGGGTACATGAGCAGAGCATGCAAGACAGTTGCATAGGTACACACATGGCAGTGTGCTTTGCTTTTCTTCTCCCCTTCACCCACATTTGGCATTTCTCCCCAGGCTATCCCTCCCCACCTCCCCCTCCCACTGGCCCTCCCCTTTTCCCCCCAATAGACCCCAGTGTTTAGTACTCCCCTTTCTGTGTCCATGTGTTCTCATTTTTCATCACCCACCTATGAGTGAGAATATGCAGTGTTTCATTTTCTGTTCTTGTGTCAGTTTGCTGAGGATGATGTTCTCCAGATTCATCCATGTCCCTACAAACGACACGAACTCATCATTTCTGATTGCTGCATAATATTCCATGGTGTATATGTGCCACATTTTTCCAATCCAGTCTATTATCAATGGGCATTTGGGTTGATTCCAGGTCTTTGCTATTGTAAACAGTGCTGCAATGAACATTCGTGTACATGTGTCCTTATAGTAGAACGATTTATAGTCTTTTGGATATATACCCAGTAATGGGATTGCTGGGTCAAATGGAATTTCTATTTCTAAGGCCTTGAGGAATCGCCACACTGTCTTCCACAATGGTTGAACTAATTTACACTCCCACCACAGTGTAAAAGTGTTCCTTTTTCTCCACATCCTCTCCAGCATCTGTTGTCTCCAGATTTTTTAATGATCGCCATTCTAACTGGCGTGAGATGGTATCTCAATGTGGTTTTGATTTGCATCTCTCTGATGACCAGTGACGATGAGCATTTTTTCATATGATTGTTGGCCTCATATATGTCTTCTTTCGTAAAGTATCTGTTCATATCCTTTGCCCACTTTTGAATGGGCTTGTTTGTTTTTTTCCTGTAAATCTGCTTGAGTTCTTTGTAAATTCTGGATATCAGCCCTTTGTCAGATGGGTAGACTGCGAAAATTTTTTCCCATTCTGTTGGTTGCCGATCCACTCTAGTGACTGTTTCTTTTGCCGTGCAGAAGCTGTGGAGTTTGATTAGGTCCCATTTGTCTATTTTGGCTTTTGTTGCCAATGCTTTTGGTGTTTTGTTCATGAAGTCCTTGCCTACTCCTATGTCCTGGATAGTTTTGCCTAGATTTCCTTCTAGGGTTTTTATCGTGCCAGGTCTTATGTTTAAGTCTTTAATCCATCTGGAGTTAATTTTAGTGTAAGGTGTCAGGAAGGGGTCCAGTTTCTGCTTTCTGCACATGGCTAGACAGTTTTCCCAACACCATTTGTTAAACATGGAATCCTTGCCCCATTGCTTGTTTTTGTCAGGTTTATCAAAGATTGTATAGTTGTATGTATGTTGTGTTGCCTCCGGTGCCTCTGTTTTGTTCCATTGGTCTATATCTCTGTTTCGGTACCAGTACCATGCTGTTTTGATTACTGTAGCCTTGTAGTATAGTTTGAAATCCGGTAGTGTGATGCCCCCCGCTGTGTTCTTTTTGCTTAGAATTGACTTGGCTATGCGGGCTCTCTTTTGGTTCCATATGAAGTTCATGGTGGTTTTTTCCAGTTCTGTGAAGAAAGTCAATGGTAGCTTGATGGGGATAGCGTTGATTCTGTAAATTACTTTGGGCAGTATAGCCATTTTCACAATATTAATTCTTCCTAACCATGAACATGGAATGTTTCTCCATCTGTTTGTGTCCTCTCTGATTTCGTTGAGCAGTGGTTTGTAGTTCTCCTTGAAGAGGTCCCTTACGTTCCTTGTGAGTTGTATTCCAAGGTATTTTATTCTTTTGTAGCAATTGCGAATGGCAGTTCGCTCTTGATTTGGCTTTCTTTAAGTCTGTTATTGGTGTAGACGAATGCTTGTGATTTTTGCACATTGATTTTATATCCTGAGACTTTGCTGAAGTTGTTTATCAGTTTCAGGAGTTTTTGGGCTGAGGCGATGGGGTCTTCTAGGTATACTATCATGTCGTCTGCAAATAGAGACAATTTGGCTTCCACCTTTCCTATTTGAATACCCTTTATTTCTTTTTCTTGCCTGATTGCTCTGGCTAGAACTTCCAGTACTATATTGAATAGGAGTGGTGAGAGAGGGCATCCTTGTCTAGTGCCAGATTTCAAAGGGAATGCTTCCAGTTTTTGCCCATTCAGTATGATATTGGCTGTTGGTTTGTCATAAATAGCTTTTATTACTTTGAGATACGTTCCATCGATACCGAGTTTATTGAGGGTTTTTAGCATAAAGGGCTGTTGAATTTTGTCAAATGCCTTCTCTGCGTCAATTGAGATAATCATGTGGTTTTTGTTTTTGGTTCTGTTTATGTGGTGAATTACGTTGATAGACTTGCGTATGTTGAACCAGCCTTGCATCCCCGGGATGAATCCTACTTGATCATGATGAATAAGTTTTTTGATTTGCTGTTGCAATCGGCTTGCCAATATTTTATTGAAGATTTTTGCATCTATGTTCATCATGGATATTGGCCTGAAGTTTTCTTTTCTCGTTGGGTCTCTGCCGGGTTTTGGTATCAGGATGATGTTGGTCTCATAAGATGATTTGGGAAGGATTCCCTCTTTTTGGATTGTTTGAAATAGTTTTAGAAGGAATGGTACCAGCTCCTCCTTGTGTGTCTGGTAGAATTCGGCTGTGAACCCGTCTGGACCTGGGCTTTTTTTGTGTGGTAGGCTCTTAATTGCTGCCTCGACTTCAGACCTTGTTATTGGTCTATTCATAGTTTCAGCTTCCTCCTGGTTTAGGCTTGGGAGGACACAGGAGTCCAGAATTTATCCATTTCTTCCAGGTTTACTAGTTTATGCGCATAGAGTTGTTTGTAATATTCTCTGATGATGGTTTGAATTTCTGTGGAATCTGTGGTGATTTCCCCTTTATCATTTTTTATTGCATGTATTTGGTTGTTCTCTCTTTTATTTTTAATCAATCTGGCTAGTGGTCTGTCTATTTTGTTGATCTTTTCAAAAAACCAGCTCTTGGATTTATTGATTTTTTGAAGGGTTTTTCGTGTCTCAATCTCCTTCAGCTCAGCTCTGATCTTAGTAATTTCTTCTCTTCTGCTGGGTTTTGAGTTTTTTTGATCTTGCTCCTCTAGCTCTTTCAATTTTGACGATAGGGTGTCAATTTTGGATCTCTCCATTCTCCTCATATGGGCACTTATTGCTATATACTTTCCTGTAGAGACTGCTTTAAATGTGTCCCAGAGGTTCTGGCATGTTGTGTCTTCATTCTCATTGGTTTCGAAGAACTTCTTTATTTCTGCCTTCATTTCGTTGTTTACCCAGTCAACATTCAAGAGCCAGTTGTTCAGTTTCCATGAAGCTGTGCGGTTCTGGGTCGATTTCTGAATTCTGAGTTCTAACTTGATTGCACTATGGTCTGAGAGGCTGTTTGTTATGATTTCAGTTGTTTTGCATTTGTTGAGCAGTGCTTTACTTCCAATTATGTGGTCAATTTTTGAGTAGGTGTGATGTGGTGCTGAGAAGAATGTGTATTCTGTGGATTTGGGGTGGAGAGTTCTGTAAATGTCCACCAGGTTTGCTTGCTCCAGGTCTGCGTTCAAGCCCTGGATATCCTTGTTGATTTTCTGTCTGGTTGATCTGTCTAGTATTGACAGTGGAGTGTTAAAGTCTCCCACTATTATTGTGTGGGAGTCTAAGTCCTTTTGTAAGTCATTAAGCACTTGCCTTATGTATCTGGGTGCTCCTGTGTTGGGTCCATATATGTTTAGGATCGTTAGCTCTTCTTGTTGTATCGATCCTTTTACCATTATGTAATGGCCTTCTTTGTCTCTTTTGATCTTTGTTGCTTTAAGGTCTATTTTATCAGAGATGAGAATTGCAACTCCTGCTTTTTTTTGCTTTCCATTAGCTTGGTAAATCTTCCTCCATCCCTTTATTTTGAGCCTTTGTGTATCCTTGCATGTGAGATGGGTTTCCTGGATACAGCACACTGATGGGTTTTGGATTTTTATCCAATTTGCCAGTCTGTGTCTTTTGATTGGTGCATTTAGTCCATTTACATTTAGGGTTAATATTGTTATGTGTGAATTTGATACTGCCATTTTGATGCTAAGTGGCTGTTTTGCCTGTTAGTTGTTGTAGCTTCTTCATTATGTTGAAGCTCTTTAGCTTTCAGTGTGATTTTGGAATGGCTGGTACTGATTGATCCTTTCTATGTGTAGTGCCTGTTTTAGGAGCTCTTGTAAAGCAGGCCTGTTGGTGACAAAATCTCTGAGTACTTGCTTGTTCGCAAAGGATTTTATTCTTCCTTCACTTCTGAAGCTCAGTTTGGCTGGATATGAAATTCTGGGTTGAAAGTTCTTTTCTTTAAGGATGTTGAATATTGGCCCCCACTCTCTTCTGGCTTGTAGTGTTTCTGCCGAGAGATCTGCTGTGAGTCTGATGGGCTTCCCTTTTTGGGTGACCCGACCTTTCTCCCTGGCTGCCCTTAGTATTCTCTCCTTTATTTCAACCCTGTTGAATCTGACGATTATGTGCCTTGGGGTTGCTCTTCTTGTGGAATATCTTTGTGGTGTTCTCTGTATTTCCTGCAATTGAGTGTTGGCTTGTCTTGCTAGGTGGGGGAAATTTTCCTGGATGATGTCCTGAAGAGTATTTTCTAGCTTGGATTCATTCTCTTCGTCCCCTTCTGGTACACCTATCAAACGTAGGTTAGGTCTTTTCACATAGTCCCACATTTCTTGGAGACTTTGTTCATTCCTTTTTGCGCTTTTTTCTCTGATCTTGGTTTCTCGTTTTATTT